GAGTTCTAGTGAGTAATCGTGACCAATGGGGTCCAGCCAGTCGGGAGTGAGGACAGATACATGCCACCGACGACAATGACTGGTGCCAGTTGCGCTAAAATCCCCAACTCGTAGAAGTTAGAATTCGTGGGCTGGCCGGTGAGTCAGATCCCAGCCAGTGGCTGAATGATCTACGAGCTGGCCTTTCTTGTAACCGGAAAGTCCTGCTTTCGAATCTCGGTGGTGGGTGTGCTCTGCCGATGAGTCCTAAACTGGGACGAAGTAGCTGTTCACCAGTCCACCTGCTGGTTTTCCCAGTGATTCTCTCTAACTGGTATCAATCCGTGATCAGGCTTGAAACAAATCAAATCCCTGTAAAAAACCTTTGAGAATCTCAATTGCGGAAATACAACAAAATATTATCGCTGAGAATAAGAAAGACTGAGGTTGACATAGGCCAATGAGAACAATTTTCAGCCATATCCCCAAATGCCTTCAGCCGACATTGTTTTCTTACCATCCCGAGGACCCCCCAATCACAGGCTGATGGATGACATGACTTGAAGAGTATAGTTATATATCCACAGTCAGAGCTACCTCGAGTTGGATAGCAGCATAAATCATCTAAAACCAACATCATTATTCCCGAGTCATTCATTGGTAGAAAAACTAACCATGGCAAACTTTTCTTGTACGAACACCTATTAATGACAACAGGAAGTTGGTGTAACATACTACCTTCCTTCCATCGACATAAGCAGCAGCAGCAGAAATCTTCATTATAACTATTCGCGTTATTAATTGACCGAATGAGTTTCAATACATAACTTTGTACAGAAGTGCAGCAAATTCCATGTATAGCCCATAAAGGTAAGGAGGAATGGTGGGTTGGAAATACTAGAAAGAATTCTAATGAGGAGAAGTCTATACCACAAAGAATGTTAACATGGAAATGCAAGGTTACAAAGAATGTGATGAATGCATTTGCATTGATGCGGACGATTTTGTAGCACAGCACCAATAGTTTCCAGTCATTGGTCTCTGGCATCCTGAAGAGCCCAAATAAGCCAGTTTACACTTCCCTATGCGAATGACTCAAACTAATCTACTAAAGATTTCATGCACTGGTCCCAGATTTTAGTTTGACCAGTTTAACTACGTCAGCTAACAACACTGCTTAATGAGGACGTCATTGCTTTGAAGGTAGCTGTGCTTTTGAAGAAAATCCTTGTTTCATTCCACCTGTCTGTAGGATGTCCACCTATTAAATCTGTGAAATTAGCTTAGAACCATACTTACTACTTGTACAAGCTAACCTGTTATGAGAAATATGACCAGCTGGGAGAGAATCAAACCTGACACTTAACAAAATTACACCATTCAAAATATCAATGGACGCATTCGACAAAGGAAGGGAAAACAATTCGTCCTAAAGTCAATGTTCACTAGTTGTGCAACTGTAGTTATCACGTTTACGTACACGTTGAACAGCTAAACGGGACTCATGCATACCTCTGATTACAAGAACTCAAGCAAACTTCACTGGGTTACCTGTGAGTATATTTCCTAGCGGTTGAACGTAAACTGAAAAACTTATAACTACTCAGTTTTAATTATTAGATGCTTATCAAATCAATCAACACAGAGTCGACTTGGGATACGGTCATTTATCATATTCTATAAGTTCTTCATTTACCTAAGTGTAATATCCAACTAGACAATGGGGCAAACAACTACAGCTCTCCTATCCTGGTTAAATGATTCTACGAACTTGACTGATACAATTCAGTCTGCGCCAAACAAAAGACTAGACACATGATACCAATCAGTTAGTGTGTCCAGTCAAAATATCCAATACAATCTTACAGGAGATCAATCGTGAGCCAGTGTAGTTCTGCGGTAACGTCTCTGTCTAGAGTACTTATTGGGTGGTGCGGGTTCGAATCTCAGAACGGACATGCGTTCTTCCCAGGTTGCAGATACGCCATGGTGACTAGCGCCAGCAGGCACGAAACTTAAGTTCTGAACTTCCTGTCGGTTGCCTCCAATCATCTAATAATGACAATTCAAAGTGCACCGTGATGGTGAGCCAGCTAGCATGGTGGCCACATTGCAAACTTGACTGGTACAATTCAATCTGCATCAGATATAGGAGTAGACACATTACACTAGTCAATTAGTGTCTGATTAAAATACTAAGAATAGCCAGTTTGACGGTCAAATTAACTAACTTTAAAATACACTATCTAGACTACGCTGCCAATTGTTCCAAGTAGGTGGGTTCGCTGTAATCGGTGGAAAAACACAAATCCAAGTGAGATGACCCAAACACTTATTCCCCATGATTCTAGAGTCACTGACTGACTGACTTCAATATAGAACTTTGCACACACAAGTGTACCAGTTCGAGTTACCACACTCCATTAAGTATACAAAGGAAGACATAAGAGAGTTGAAAGTACAATAAGCATAAATTTGACGGGGAAATAATAGTACTAATAGGGAAACAATAAGGATTTTTACATATGGAAGATCACAGAGAATGAGAATCTGCGCCATATCGCCAACTGTTTCCAGCCTTTATTGATGTTTAGCATCTAGAGGACCTCACTCAATCAAACAGTCTACACTCCCCTACACGGCTGACTAAATGTTAAAGACTTTATAAACTGATGCCATGTCCTCGTCTGACTACCACTAGTTCTTTTCCAACCTGATCCATCCTTTGTAGGCTAGCATTGACCATCGAGGAAGGTGATGGCTAGTCAAGCGCTACACATATCCTGGACATCTCAATTGATGCAGCTTCACAACCTCGTCGACTGACATTGCCTCCTTACCTGACACTCGACCAAAGCCTAATCTCAATATTGCTCACCTTATTATATCACCTAACATGGAAGACGGAGCTCAGATACCCAGCCAGGCTTGTCATATCTTTCACTCCCCGTTGCCATATGTCGCTGACAATGGGAAAGAAATCTCACCATCGATGAGTTTCTATGGTTCTCCACGACTAAGGTCTTAGTGAATCACGCACTGGATACATTTGAAAGAGGGGAAACGTCAAAGGAGATCTACAGATGAACGAGTCTCTGAGTAGATTATGAGTAAATCCAATGTCAGTGATATTTGAACTTAATTGATACCGGTTTCAGATATTACCACACTCAAAGGACACTACACGTTTTGCTGAAGTCCACCACACCACCAAAATATGAATTAACTAGGACAACAGATCTCATTCCCAGGATTGTCTTCAAGGTAATAAACCTTAAGTAACCTAATCTTTTGTACCTGTATCGACAATTTTAGGAATACTACGTAACATGATTACTAACCAACAAAGACCCCAGGCAGTAAGTCCCTACAACATTAATAAAGTGAAAATAACTTAGACCAAATTAGCCAAAGCATCCATGTGCCACTCAGACATAGCTGGAGCTCACACTCACACAAATCTAAGTACAGTACTCAGGAATGTGGCAAACTTGAACACACAAACTGGAGTCTAAAGGACAGACATACACACTACCTCCCCTAAACGAGAAGACTGTGGTGACGCAACGAAACAGGTCAGAACAACTCCATCAACACCCGTACTTCTCCAGACTTTCGATGCCACCTAAGCAAAGACTGTCTGGATTCAACATAGAACTTGGCACCGAAGTGCAGCAGTTCAAGTCGCCACGTTCCAAATAGCATACAAAAGTAGACAAGAAGATGAGTGGAGAGAATTAATAGTTTCACAAGTATGAGAGTGAAACAGAATGGGTAATGGTAGAAAGGAATATGAAAGATTACAGAGACTGAATACATCTGCGCTGGCCATTAACAACGATTTTGAGCCATTTCACCTATTGTCTCTAGCCATTGATTCTTAGAGTCCCGAGGGCCCCAACCCGGAAGTCTGCATCTCCCTACCTGACTCAGTTTAACTGTCAAGGATTTCATGGATTGATGAGGCCATGTTTTTGTTTGGCCACCACTTACTCTTTTCCAACCTGCACCGCCTATATCAGCTAATAATGCCCGTCGTCGGGGAAGGCGATGGTTAGGCATGCGCACCACGTGACCTAGCCATCTCAATCCATGTGACTTTATAGCCTCGTCGATTGATTTTCCCTCTTTGCCCAACACTCTACGCCTAACGTCAACATTACTTACCTTATTAAACCACCTAACGTGAGAAAGAGATCGTAAACATCCATGATCGAAAGCAGTCAACTTTTTCATGTCTACAACTCGTATTGGCCATGTTTCAGAGTCATAGAGAAGAGTGGAACGAACTGCTGAGCAGTACACACGGCCCTTGGTTGATAGCCAGATGTCACGCCTACGCCCGAGATGGTGTAAGTCAGCGAAGGCAGCCCGAGCTTTTTGGATCCGTGGTGAGAATTTGTCGCCAATCAGTACTTAGTAAACAACCGGTATTTCATGGAGTCCTTTATTTATCGAACACTGAAGATAAATCGGCTAATCTTAGCCTTTAAACAACTAGCTGGCATTATAAGATCAGCAAAAGAATAGAAAAGGACCGAGGATGTCTCTCCTTAGTGGAGACCGTACCCAGTAAAACCTCCAATTAAAACCTATGCGATTTATACATCTAAAAATACTCCTGTCATCAAAAGAAATTACCTAAAACTTTGTACCAGATCAGCGTGCGAATGTACAGAACTCTACGAATAAACAGAAAAGTTGTAAGTGCACGTATGCGTGTTTTCCACAACATATGTTAAGTAATTTGCTAAGCTACACGAATTAGATCATGGCAAAAAGCGGACAGAGCCTTGGTGTAATTAAAAATCACCGAGTCTTAAAATTTGTAGACCACACTGTAGCAAGTTAGACGAACTTATAAACAGTATATTTGATAGAAAAAAATTACATTAGCCATCATTTTACAAATGCAGGACGGCCCAGTAGGTTTAAAAAGGGACATCTGTAAACAATATAAAATAACACCATCTGTGTACAACGCTGAACGACGAACATGAACATTATTGAACTACTATGAATTATTCGTCATCTTCTGTTTTGGGCTTTTTGCCAGCCTTGTATTTCTGCATCGCCTAATAAGGAGAACATGAAAATAGCTAGAATATTGCTTACCTTATCATAACGCTGTTTTTCCACCTGCGCCAAACTTTCGTATTTAGCTTTGTTTTTACAATTCTCCCATCTTTTTCCTAATTCTTTGGCAATGTCACCCACTTTCCAGTCAGGATTCTCAGATTTCACCTTAGGTCTTTCATCTTGGCAGAAAAGGAAGAATGCGGACAATGCTTTCTTTGGTGCATTTGGATCTTTCTTCCTCTTCTTGCCACGGCCTTCATCTGCCGGGGGCTCATAGTGCTCCATTTCACTTTTGTAACGTTCTTTGTCCTTATCAGCCAAATCTTTGAACTTTTTCTTCTCCTTAGCTGACAGAGTCTAAGATACTGAGCTACTACAAACAACTGATATACCTTCCATTGTTCGGAGCACTCTTTTGAAAATGTCTTGAAATCCAAACTAACATTAGGATGTTTTTTCTTATGATCAGCATGCATAGATTGTAAAAACAGTGCATAAGCATTCATCGCACCTTTAGGCTTTGACTTGTCCTCGGCCATCTTTGACAAACTAGTTGAATTCAAACGTATTGGACTTAGAGCCAGACAACCTCAAACAGCCCAAAAATTAGGACGAGTACGAACAAAGCTCAGTTCGAAAAACAATAAGTAGGTTCCATTATTTCAATAACTGAAAATCATTTTTTGATCAAAATAATTGATACAATATTTTATTTTTATGTTAATTATGTTTTTACTAATAAGACATCTTAAACGGCTGTGGTAGGAATAGTTGCGGGTTTTTCAATCTCTACATTACTTTTCGCCAAAAAATTGCCCAGGAATACCTATGTAAGCCTTCTCTCGATCTACTGATGTATTTTTCGTCTGTTTGCTACTAAAAGGATTTACTTCTACGCTGCTTAGTAAAATAATCAGATATCGGGGCATGCCGCTTCATAGTAGTGCTATAATCCCCTCACTTCTAAGCTACCTTATCAGATGCACTGGCTTTCCTCGAACTGCGAGTACTGTAAAGGAAAATAAGAGTAGTTTTAGGTCCTTTACCAAAGTTCCGTACGTCAAGAAGTCTTTCACAAAATGATACAGTAATCAGGTTCTTTCGCTTTCAGCTTCGTTTAGCCACGAATACGAACTGGCCATAGTTCCTTTATACCCTGCTCTGACGTTAGTATATCACAAGTGTTACCTCTTGCTGGGAATTGGCGGTGTTTCTTTGAGATATGAAAGACTGCAGGGAATAGGATGTATCATTCGCAAACCTGTCAGTAAATTTATGATAACTAGATGTTAGGTCCACTTAACTCAGGGGTCCTTAATCGCATGTTTTGAACATCTGTGTCATATCATCAATACAGATGAATGAGTGGTAAAAACCTCTCGGGTAGACGCTTGTGTGTGATCTGTGCGAAACTTAAAATGGACCCATCGTGAACTTCAAATTGCTCTTAGGGTAGATCGAATAACAGACCGTTGAATGTTGACTGAATTACCTAAAGCGCCTTTGTTGTCAAAAGTCACTTTGATAGACTACAACCTAATACAGAAATAGTCCCTGCCAACCACAGTGTCTGTCTCAGCATGCTAAGTGAAGCTTCATGGAGCCTAACTTAACACTGCCAATCTTGGAAATGTTCAGCAATACCGACATTAAGCGAATGATCCCATGGAGAGGGTCACCCCAGGATAGCAAACGGATTATCGGAAACTTTCGGTAGGCAAGTGCCCTGTCTTCAAAGGGGGCTGTATTGTGTATCTGCGTCCATAAAATCAACCTTTCCCAATGTTATAACTGGCGCCGTCCTGTGTGAAGATATCTTTCCGCGTTAAAGACGTCTAGCTGCAATACACTTATTGGAATTACTACGAACGCAATGCATTTCTGATCAACCTCCTTTCCAGTGCAATCATAGCTCATAACACCCCCAGTGTACCACATCTTATAATCCGTCACATATATTAACTTATATTTAATAACAATCCATGCAGTGACACAATGCAATTAGTTTCAACATTTGTTGAGGTAGTCTAAAGATGTGACCCAGTTTCTTTTGATCCTTTCGGAGACAAACTTCAAGCTAGTTCACCTCTCACAAACTTCTTTTCTTTGTCTTACTTTAAATATCAAGTTAAAGATTCTCAAAGTAATTTGGACACTTTTTTGCTCATTGCTCTTGGGGTGGGACATGCGGCCAAAGACTTTGGATTTTTGGCGGCTGCGTTGTCGTCTGCATCTCACTGGACTGCTAGCTTCACGCCCAACTTTCCCTCTTCTCTGAGTAGTCTAGGCTGTCTTACACTGACTACACCAAGATCACCCGGCACTCCACAGCCGTACCGAAGATGCACCAGCCAAGTAGGACATGAACAACAATTCAATTTCAGCACTCAGAAACTGGGCACTAAGCTACAAATGATACTAACAAGGTGATCAAGGAAGCTGAAAGCAGTAAGCAGCAGTACTTATGGAGGAATGGCGGAAGAACGCTGGAAACCTCTGAAATCGACTGGGAAGAAACTTTTTTCAGACATCCTGAAAAAAGAAGGGGCAGAGTAAATAGCAGCTCACCATGGACACATATGAGATGGTAGAGGACGGAAGGATCGTGAAGCAGAAGCCGAGTATAATCTACGGTGCACTGAGTAAAGGGATGTAGCAGAATGGTAGGAAAGCTGGAACACAAGTTCGCAACCCAGTGAAAACTCACTCGGGACAGCCGCCAGGTGAGACAGACTTCTGAGCATTTTCATATGACCAGGCAGACATACGAGGAGAAATCGATGCAGATTAAGCCAGTGGGAGATGGCCAAGGAGACCTAATAAACAAAAGCAGAATAACTTATGAGTTGGTCGGTTCACAGGACTCTTGAAACAGTTACACCTACTACTAGCCATGAAATGCATCAATAGAAGCAGAACTGTCAGGGGACACCCTTAGAATGAGTTTCAAAGGCCATAAAATTATTGAGCGGCGGATGAAATTCACCCAAATGTATCGATAACAGACACAGATACTTTAGAAGACATGGTCACGCCATTATCTCACCAGACATGGATGGCAGAATATTCTATTAAACCACCAGAGAGGGGCAACTGAAGCCTGTGCAAGTAGTCGTGCAAAAATGTTAGCCATGTAGCGGCAAACAATTCCCAAAATTCTTAACCACAGCAACCATCACTGAACATTGGATGCTGACCCTTAGTGTTGAAGTCGACTTGTTTAGCTGAAGGCTTCCGGTCAAGCATCCTCGCCATTTGGTACTCCATCGTGTCACTTTTGTGCACGATCACTAGCCAGCTTAGCTTCCGCTTCAGTCCACGATTTGGTTCCGAAATATATCTCGTAATTTGGACAATCAATTGTGGTGTTTTGCTTTGCCTTTGGTCCACGAGAAACGAATACTTTAGGACTTGTTGGTATAAGATCTTGCGTTAGTATACTCCATACAAATCGCGAACGTCAATACCGTCAGCCTCCAAACTGGTGAGCCCAATCGCGAACTTCACTTTCGATAAATACGCAGATAAATCCGGTGAGTTTGTTCCTTTTAGTATTTTTTCTTGTACTATATTGTAACTGACATTCATTTCGTCATGCGTGATCCTAGTCCTAGGGTCATTCGTATACACTCAACTGCCGAAACCATTCAGCTCGTGCCACGTTGGTCAGATAATGCCGAAACATGGTTTCAGATAGCTGAGTCTGGTTTTTGTGAGCGTGGGATATCCGATCAACGTTCACAGTTCCTCTCATTTTTTCACGCCCTACCGCGGGAATTCAGCAGGTGCGTAACTGTGCAGATGTCGAGTCCCGAAGTAAGTAACTCGCACGAGTTGCCCAAAGCAGGAGAAACGTTGTCACTTATCGACAGCGTCTGGACGAATTATTTCGTAACATCGAGTTAGGGGAGCCGTGAGCATGCTAACAATAATGAGAGAGGTTATTGGCCAAAGTCAGTTCGATGGAGGACTTTTCAGAGAACTCTTCTTATCCAAGCTGCCACAGTCCGTGCAGACTGTCCTTGTGAAACTTCAGGGTGTTCATTTGGATGACTTCGCTATTTCTACAGATAAAATTCTAGAAACAACTAAACGGTCAGTTCCTGGAATATGTTCGGTGGCCAAACAGACTTCGAGTAGGGATACTGTGGTGATAGAGTTATGAAACTCCATCCAGCAGATACTTAGGTCAGATATGCCTTGCAATTCTTCCTGCCATCCTCAGAACTCTCCTCAAAGCCGAAACTCACGTGGTCGATCTAAGCCCAAGCCACGTTCACAGAAAAACCCTGACTGGTGCTGGTATCACAATACCTATGGCCAGGAAGCGAAATACTACCGTAAACCTTGTAATTTGGGCAGTGCCTCAAAGTCTGTAGGAAACTACCCCGTCGGCACGTGTCAGCGGAAACCTTCGCCGGGGGCACTAGCTGCCTACTTTACACCCATGATGTGATCAGCCAGACTTGATATTTAGTCGACACAGGCGCCGAAGTCAGCGTCCCTCCTGCTACAGCAGCAGATCGACAGAAGGAACCTACCTTCAACTTACAGGCTGCAAATGGAAAACCAATCGCAACCTTTGGTAGAAAATACGTCTATCTGAACGTAGGTTTACGCAAACCTATTCGATGGATTTTCCTTCTCGCTGACGTCACAATGCCCATCATTGGCACAGATTTACTTGATCATCATGATCTACTCGTAGACGTCCGCCGTAAACGACTGATTGACAATACTACTGGTCCGTCTATCAAAGGCCTCACCTACATAGGTCCCAGCTTGTCACTCGTTAAGATAATCCTTGATCCAGCTTTTCAACAGATTGTTGATAAATATCCGGAACGTAATTGCCCGTCTAACGACCTACCGTGTATAACCAGCGATGTTATGCACCACATCATAACCTTAGAACAGCCTGTGGCATCTAGAGCACGACGACTTGCCCCTTACTAACTGAGAATCGCTAGGAATGAGTTCGACCATATGCTAACCCTTTGCATCATTCAAACATCGAATAGCCCAATGGCATCCCCACTGCATATGGTACCGAAAAAGGATGGCAACGATTGGTGACCCACCGGTGATTACCGGCGAGTGAATGCCAAAACCACTGACTGCCTCATATACGCGACTTGACGGCAACATTATCTGGTGCAGCTGTTTTCTCTAAAATCGACTTGGTTAAGGCATATAACCAAATCTCGATGGGACCAGAAGATAGTCCGAAAGCGGCTATCATTACGCCTTTCAGACTTTTTGAATTTCTACGTATGCCATTCGGTCCCTGGAATGCAGCCCAAAAATTCCAACGCTTCGTCGATGAAGTATTTCGCGGTCTCGACTTTGTATACGCATACTTATACGACTGCCCCATTGCCAGTCCAGACAAGGAAACTCAACTTAGACACTTGGACTTGGCATTTGTAAGGTTACGCCAACATATAGTTGCCATCAATATTCAAGTGTCAGATAAGGGTTGACTCACTCGACTTCCTGGGTCACACTATTGACTGCAAGGGCATTCGCCCATTAGCTA